CAATATACTAGGGAAAAACCAAATATACAATAGATTATTGTATAATAATATTATAATAATACAAATAAATTTTATATATAATTCTATTCACATATTTAATAATGATACGAGTACTACGTAGTACCTTTAGAAATAGAAGTAATAGCAGCTTGTATACAAAATAGAATTTCTTGTTATCAATATTTATGTTGTCTTTTTCTTAGTATATACTCTTGTCAACAAAGATAAATTTCAATTGAATTCCTTAAAGTTTTTTTTTTTCATGATTTTTATAACTCTAATTTAGCTTATACATATTTTCATTGTTAACGTACATTTCTTGTTAGAATATTAACAGCTAAAGAAAATATCAAACAAACACAACTATTCGGATATTATTATATATAACACAAATTTAACTGTATTGTAAATGGAACAAATTTCTATATGTGATTTGTTTTATTTCCATAAGAATTTTTGTACTTCTATTTTTCATTTTGTATATACGAGGAATATTATTTTATAAAATATATATTACATACCTTGCCTACGTATAGAATAATTCTGTTTACATATAGAAAATTATTTTCTCCTTCACTTATACATAAATACAAAAATATTTTTGTTAGCCGCATAGAAACCCTCAAGATTAAAGACAAAACAGATATAAAGGACCTTCTAATATAAATAATAAGATGAAGAAAAATGTTAAAATAAAAATAAATACATAAGATCCTTAAATGAAACTATAATCTATATTATTATTGTGACGGTTAATATTAACATACCTTAGAAACATCTATGTATGTATAATAATGTTCAAATTATTATATAGATTGGCTAGAATTTATTTCAAAAAGGATATTCACATTTTTGTTATTATATTAATAAAATAAATATCAGTTCATTCAGTATGATGACGCTTGTGATCTTAGTTTTCGATATTATTTTAGTTTATTATTCTATAGGATTGCCACATTCCCAATTTTTTGTTATAAATTAATTTAATAATAAGCCATTAACACTAATATAGAATATACCAGAATAATAATTCTAGAATTTTAGTTTCTAACAAAAAAATCAATTAATTTTAAAACTATTAACCTATTCCGGATCACGGTTAGCACATGGCATTTTATAATTAACAATATATCAATAATAATATAGCATAATTAAATAATTTCAAATTTATTTATAAAATAAAGAAGCTGAGAAAAGTTAACAATGTATTTGTTTCCATCTTTTGTACCCAAAAATATAGAAAAACATTTTTAAGTAACACAGAATACAATGGAAATTTTAATAAAATGTTCTAGCACAAAATGTAAAATTTCTTTTTTACAAATAAAAAATTCAAGTATGGCAAGCAATTTTTCACAAAATTTCTAAATTTTTCTAACATGAAGTAAAAAATTATAGAATACACAACGTCTAAAGAATGTGTATGCTTGTATATAGGGAATATTTTCTCATATTATTATTATACGAGTATACTTAGATATATTTTGTTAAAGAAACTCTTTTAGAATTTGTTTTATCCTAGAATAATTTTTATACAAATATACCATGTAAACATATCCTTGCGCTTACATACATACATAAAACAGAGAATAAGAAAAGGAAATGAAATGAATATCCTGAAGGTGTTAGATAACTACGTAAACATTTTGTTCTTCTTCAATATTTAAGTATAATAAAGAAAATTAACAAAGGTAGAAAAGAGGAAAAAATATGTATTAGATATTTTGTATACATAGAAAATATTATTTTTGCAGGATGTACGAATTATTGTATTCAATATAATAAAATAAAAAAACAAAGAAATTTTATTTTTATAAGTTCAATATTAATTAGGTTTATACGTCATGTTAACTAAGTAAGTACGTCATATTTAATTATAGAGTAGCATATTGAAAATAATTATTATTCAAACATTAACAAATGTTATATAGTTGGGTATCACAGATTATGATGGTTATATAATGCACTCTAATTTGCAATTAATTGTTTTCGAATTAGCGAATTTATAAATCAATTTTTTTTTAAATGTAAACGTTAAATATTCGAATAATGTGTAGGAATAACAGAATTAAAAATACTAGCCTTTTTCATCCACTTCAAAAATTTTCCAAATCCCTTGTGATTTACATACAAATTGGGAAATTATTTTTAATTCACTTTCTGAGCTTGGTCGCCTTACAGATGTCCACAAATATATTTATCGCATTACCTCAATTTTAAATTTTTTAAATAAATTTTAAAATCGCAAATCTTCCCCACAGTACATTACAAGTAATTGTTTTTATATTTTATTTTAGTAAATATTAGGTTTTTCAAAAACAACTGGGAATAGCTGGTCTAGATATTTTGTATCTCACCTTCAGTCATATAAATCTTTGAAAATTTAATAATTTTCATTTTTTGTTTAAAATTAAAAAAATTTGAAGATAATGGTGTGTCGGAATACCATAATATTACACTATGCCAAAATTATTTGTGTATCATAATGATACGAGTATAAGGAAAATTATTGCATTTATTTGTATTTTGTGAGTTAAATATGTAACGTTCTTAAAGAAATTTCTATAACAGAAATTAAATAGATAAAATTCTTAAACATTAAATTCTAAACCAATTACGTTTAAATAATATTAATTTAATAATATTGTAATTTCAAAGAATTTTCCTGAATAAATTAAATTCACATTCTAATATGGCATATATAAATCCAAGATAGTTTGTAAAAATCTATTTCTATTATTAGAGCATTCAAAAGACGACAATATTTTATTATCATAACTATTTTACAATAAAAATTTATTGTAAAATTTAAATATAAATTAACACCTAAGTATTTTCCTTAAAAGTATATTTTAAAAAGGAAATTTTTAATTAATAAATCAATGAGTGAAATAATGTTAAATAAGAACCATAATATTATAAAATTCAATTTTTTTTAAAAAAATACATACAATTTGTTATAAATACTATACATATTTAATTTTTTAAGTATATAAGCAAAATATCTTATGGTTTTATTTCTTTAACACATAAGTATATCAAAGGAAAATATTAATTAAATTTTAAAATATTAAATATTTAACTTAATATAATTTTAAAATTTATATTAATTTATGCAAATATAAGTGCATATAAGTTTTATATGCACTTATTATTTGAATTTAATATTTTCAGATTAGGTAATAATAATAATAATAATAGTATTATAGAACAGATTTAAAATAAATAATATTTAATTTTATTATATATGCAATTAAATTTGTATCGGAAAAATTTTTATAATAAATTTTGTATATACTAGAAAAAGTTTTCTTAAGTGACATTGAGTTATCATTAACTAATATTTTATAACTTTATGAATTATTTAATGAAAATTATATAAAAATAATAATATTCAAAATTATATACAGGGTGAGAAAAATTAATGGTACTTCCAAGAAATAGAATTAACAAATAAAATTCGGATCGGGATAAATAACAAAAGCAAAATAAATGTTGTTATCCCTTTACTGCATTTCTTTTTAAAAATTTTACCTTGCATTAAAATATTTGGCAAAAAAAAAAGTGAATCTTTGGAGCGGACAATACTTTTCTATAAGAAAAGCAATTTTTGATTTTTAAAAATAGTTTATTAAATTTATTCTGTTTCTCATATTTCTCGACCTATAAGGATAAATTAAAGAAATATACAAACATTTTAGGAAAACAATATTTGATATTCAATATAATTCAAGAAGGAGGGAAGACAATAAAAATGTTTTCTTGTTCTTCTAAACTAATTATATCACACTATTTCAGCAATATTATTAAGTTTTTAACACTCTGTAAAATATTTGAAAATTGTTATAATATTTAAATATATATACATGCAAAAAATATCATTGACATACTTAATATAAAGTATTTATGATCAAATGAAAATAATAATATAAATATATAAAATATATACTCTAAATCAATGTTGACCTAATAAATTAAAATTTATTTGAAAAATTTTATGATTTACATAAAATATATTAGTATACTATACTGTATAGCTATTTATGTAATAATTTTGAAAACATTATACCAATATACACCGGATGTATTTCGTATCTAATAATTATAAGAATGTGTTTATCTAAATTATTTTCCAAATTTGGATATTCTAATAGATAAAAATTCTTGTTATATAGAAAATATTGGTAATATCATAAACTAGATTATCTATTACAAAAATACTGTTATGTAAAATTTGTTCTTATAAAGAAATTTCATTAACTTAAATATTGTAAATATAAATGTTTGTTACAAAAAATATGTATATATTTTTATTGGTAAAAGAATTATGTATCTTATCATAGTCCAAGAAAATTGCTAAAACTGAAGAAGATGATGTTTCAGACTATTAATTTTTACGTTCAACTAATAAAAAGTGAAGTAATTATTAAATTACAAAGTTATAGTTGTTATTGTAATTATTTATGATATTTAAAACAAGGTACCTTCTAGTTTCATTAAATAAAAAATTCAATTTCAGATAATATAGAATTTGCTTTCATTAAATTATGTTACATAACACGCATACATTAGTCAATCTCTATGTGTTCTATCATTTGTACACACATGTGCTTTTAATCCCTGTATACAGATTTGATTTATACTGCAAAATATTACAGGATGCTTTCCATTCGTTCTGAAAATGCAATGCTATTATATTGAGTAATTTATAGATAACAATCTATAGATAAATTGTAATCAATTTATTTCTACTAAATTAGAAAATATTCATTGCAGTCAGTTATGTGTTGGCCAGATCAGATTTTTTCGAATAGAATATTCCTTCCAATTTTATGAGATTCTATGACTTAAGTGTGCTTTTATTATTCATTAATTACTTTGAAAATCAATAACTTGAATGTAGTATTCATAGAATTTAATGAATTTTCTGAATATTTAAAACAAAGTGCTATAAAAAACTAAATTTAATGATAATTTTTTTTGTTCTGTTTATTTTTCAGAAAAAAATTAATTTCGGATAAAAAATTAAAACAAAAGGTAAGAAATATTTATTTAATTAAAAAATTATTTAACAAATTAACTGTTAATAAAAATATCATAAAAAGTAAAAATATTTTGCTTTCGAAAATCATTTTATCTATTATATTGTACGTACATATGTATATATAAAATTCGCCTACTTATTTTATAATTTGAAAATGATTTTCTATAAAAATTTTGCCTAAATGTATGCAATTTTAATTAAAATGAAAAAAAATTAGTGTTGCATATTATGTTTTAACTGCTATTATCAAATCATTATATTCAGTCTGAAATGAAATTTAATTTTCTATATACTATGTAGCAATATTTTTAATTTTTGTAAACTTTATATTAATTTAATTATTTATCTTCATTACATTGAAAAATAAATTTAAGCACTATTATTATTTATATTATTTTCTATTATAAATTAATATTCCAAAGTAGCAATATATCTTTTAATTACACACAACTTTTTTCGATTATTTATACAAAATTCAATGTTACGTGATTTAATTAAAATTTAATGAAGCCGCTCTTATTTTATGAATTTATTTTTGCGGGAATAGACCGTAATGTTCACGTTGTATTATAAATATGAAATTATTGATCATTCATAGTTTTTAATTAAAAATTTTAAATTAAAATTAAATGACATTTTAATTATCTAATATTAAAATATTTACTTAATATTACTATCGATATCAATATATAATAATATCAGAGATTTTTTAATAAATTATAAGTAATTTTTTTATTTATTTATTTTGAGACTATATATTAAAATTTCCAATTATTTTTGAATATCTAGAAAAGTATGACCAGATGGAATGTATTGCTGAATCAATAATCATGTGCTTTTCACATTATATCGAAAATTAGGCAGATCAAAATCCATTTTATCAAAATTAACATACATAGGTACTTTTAAGAGAATTTTTAGAATTTTAAGAGAATTTTTGATTTCTTGGAAATTCATGATACTTGACGAAATAGCACAAAATCATATAAGATATAAACTATATTATTGTTCATGCAGAACTACATTCTAGAGTGAATCACGGTATAAAATGAACTGTTTGAAAAAGATTCTACTGTACATTGTAATTGTAATTATTTTACGTAAAATAGTTTCAAAAAGCTTAAAGACAAATTTAAAAAAAATAGGTACGTAATATTTTGTCCCAAGATATTTTTACTTTAAATTGAATATTTTTAGATTAAGTGTCATTTTGAGGGTAAACCTGCTAAGTCGTAAAGGATTATGTTTCTTTTTCGTTTTTTTATGGAATTCATAGAATAAATTCATATTATGAAATATCATAAATTCATATCATAGAATTATTATATGAGAATTTTAGATTATGAATTTAGAGAATTATATGAGAATTTTAGATAAAATTTTTAAGACTTTATAAATAAAGGTTTTACCAAATGTAATAGTACATAGATTACGAAATTTGATAGGCTCAACTCTGAAACTTTAAAACTCTTTTTTATCAATTTTTCTATATTTTTTGTATTCAGTAAAAACAAAAATTTAGGCATAAATGATAACATACAAATATTTATGTATTATACTTCGAGTTATTATTTATAGCACCGAAAATAATACATAAAAAAATGAAAAAAAAAATGATATAAGTGCGTATTATAAAAATACAAATCTTTTTTAAACACAATAAATTTAATCCAATTATGAAATTATACCGTACATTGTTTTAATTTATATTGATAAAATTTTATGTACGTTCAACATTATTTATTATACCATAAAACTCTTCCAATCTCAAAAGTATTATTGTACACAATAAAATATATTGTACATATTATATAAAATGCACACAACTACTTACAAGTGAATACAACGTAATTGTGTGTAAATATTACAAACATATATAATTCACATACGTACAATATTGTATGAAATGATTTTTACACAAAGGTTATGTAATTGCAATTATTGCGTTAATTCATTTTATTGCCTTTAATATAATTTATATCCATTTTTCTGGCTACACCTACACATATTTTTTATTGTGTACAAGTTATATATTCCCGCATATATTTAAACTTTTATATAAATAATATTCAATTTTACAACCATACTTACACTTGCATTTACAACATATGCATACACATAATGTACATATATATGTACGTATGGTTTAATCTGTGCTAATATTTTATTGTATGTATTTATATATAATTATAAAAAATAAATAAAAATTTATCAAAAATATCAACTTTAATAATTGAAATTAACTCTGGTAAGCAATAAAAAAGTAAACATAAGGACATAAATGTAATTGAAAACATAAAAAACAAAAATAGAAGCAGAAAAAAAAAACACATTACAAGAAATATGAGAGTACAGAAAAAGATCAGAGATAATAAATTTGAAAATGAGAAAAAAAAAAACAAAACAAAAAAACAAAACACAAAGAGAATGGAGAAAAAAAAATTTGCAATAAAAATGAAAAATTGCCCATATGAGAGCATTTCTGTAATTTCGCCTTCTCTTCTCATTTTCGTATTATTTTGGATTATTTTTATTTTTCTTTCATTTTATTTTTTTCTTTGTATTCTCAAATATTGTTATTATTATTTATTTGTTTCAAAACTCTTATGATGGCAAAATTGTTGGTTTCATTTGTATAGTTGTTAAAAGCGAAAACAAATATTATACATTACCTATACATAATTGTTGTTAGTTGTTTACATAGATACAGAACAAACAAAATATGGCGAAGATAATTCTATAATCGGGGAATAGCACTGATTTTTTTTTCATACATTTTTATTTTCTTTAATTTAGTTTTTAATAATAATAATAAATGCATTTTATTTATTCTTTCTCTATAATTTATTTTGTCTATTTTCCGTCATATTTATGTTATGAAGAAAATTGAAGAGGAGGCTGAGTAATCAGAATTGGCAAATTATGTCTGATGTATAATGCCAAAATTATTTTTATAGAACAAAACTACCCACCTAAAAAAAGCATTCTTTAGAATTTAATTTAATCTTGAATTTATATAATATTTAGAAAAAAAGCACAAATAAAAGAGTAAATTTTACATAGTAGGGAAATAATATGTCCAAAATTCATGTTTTTTGTATACATTATGCGATTTACTCAAATTATTTTAATTCTGCCGTATAATTTAAAATTTCTTAGTAGCAATATTGAATATTTTTTTAAAGTATATCCATATCTTATCATATCTTTACAATTTATTCATGAAATTGATTCTATATAACCCATGTTTAATGTGTATTTAAACTAAAGTTCCTATTTATAATATGAAACTTTAAAATTATATTATCTTCTTCTTCTTCTTCTTTTGGCTCTACAGTTCGGGGTGAACTTTGGCCTTCTTCACGATCTGCCTCCAACTATCACGATCCTTTGCTGTTGTTTTCCAGTTTATGATTGTAAGCTTTGCAGCATCACTTTCAATATTTTCTTCCCATCGTCTTCGGGGTCTTCCTCTGTGTCTATTTAGGCTAGGTCTTGCTTGCAGAATTTTGCTTTGTGGTCTATTATCATCCATTCGAATTACGTGTCCTGCCCATTTTAAACGCTGCGACTTGCTATACCTTATTATATCCTCGCCTTTAATTAAGTCGTTAAGCTCATCATTTGTTCTTCTCCTATATTCGCCGTTTTCTAGATTTATGGGCCCAAATATTTTTCTTAATACTTTTCTTTCGAATATTCTTAAATTATTTTCATCTACTTGATTTAGGGTCCATGATTCGCAGCCATACGTTACTACCGGACGAATAATTGTTTTGTAAATTAGAATTTTAACTTGTCGCGATAGCAATTTTGATTGAATTAATTTTTTATTCGCAAAGTAACATCGGTTTCCTGCCCTAATTCTGTCTTGTATCGAGTGAGATATGCTGTTGTCGTTACATAATAATGTACCGAGATAATTAAAGCTTGTCACTCCTTCAAACTCAAACGAACCTATATTTACATTTTGTGGTCGTCTTCTTTCGTTGTTTCTCGACATTCTCATGTACTTAGTTTTATGCTCGTTGACGCATAGACCAACCCTTTTTGCTTCTCTCTCTATTTGTAGGAATATTTCTTCCATTTCTTTATGTCGCTTTGCCACTATTGCTACATCATCTGCATACGCGATAATCTGATACGATTTAGTGAAAATAGTTCCACCTCTGTCAAATTTGCCTATTGCGTATTGCAATACCATATTAAATACTAATGCCGAAAGTGCATCTCCTTGTCTAACACCACTTGTAATTGGAAATTCTTTTGATATATTTCCCTGTACCATTATTTTGGCTTGTGATTCATTCATTGTCATCTCTATCAGTTCTGTAATTTTCTTTGGTACGCCTAGCGCCAGCAGTGCAACCTTAACAAATTTTCTGTTTACACTGTCAAACGCCTGCTTAAAATCAATAAACAATAAATGTATGTCGATGTTGAACTCATAGCATTTTTCCATTATTTGCTTAATAACAAATATTTGATCTATTGTGGACCTCTGACTTCTAAATCCCGCTTGATACTCTCCTATTTGCTCCTCATAATAACTTCTCAACCTGTTACATAATATTTTTGATAAAATTTTATAGGAAGTGTTCAATAATGTAATTCCTCTATAGTTGTCACACAGTAACTTGTCTCCTTTTTTGTGAATGGGACATAGTATTCCAGTTCCCCATTTTTTCGGCATTCTGGCAGTCTCCCAAATTCTACATATTAACTTATGTACTCTTAATTGGAGGTGCTCACCTGCCATTTTGAACAGTTCCGCTGTTAATTTATCTTCTCCAGGAGCCTTACAGTTCTTTAGATCCAATATTGCACTTTTCACTTCTTCAATCGTTGGCAATCTATCCTCAGGTTCTGCAGTATACAACTCGAGATTTCTATTTTCTATATCATCCTCATGCGACGTATTTAAAATTTCACCAAAATATTCACGCCATCTATCAAGGATCTCATCCCCATTGTTCAGAATGATACCAGATTT